AAAAGTGATCGGCAATGCTGTTTGCATTGTTCATGAGGATCATCTATAGAACTAAGGCTTGTTTAGATAGCAGTCCGGTTTCCTGAACTGAACTAAAGTGTTGTCTTGGGGGTTCTAGCTCCGAGCTTTCGGTTGAAGAACCTAACCCAAAAGGAAATTGAGTAAAGTGGTAATTCCAAGAGCTTTTAAGGGGTGACTGCGGTGACTGACATATACCTTTCGGATGCCTCAACTAACCACGTTGACCAGATCGATTGATCTTGGTCCACGCGCTTCGCGGTGAATGTCATGATGATCGAATCCAGCGGTAAACCTCGGTGTCGAGTCCGAAGTCGCACCAGAGATTCGAGCCACCACGCCGATTGTGGATAGTTTGAAATTAGGGTACATAGTCAAATTTCCTAGATCAACCACCAAAGGAGCCCGAGGAAGAGCACCTGTTGTTTCCCTTTGCCCTCCCACTTTAGTGGAGACACCTAGGTCATGTGAAGGCAGTAAGTAGGACGTCCTCAACGAAAACAACTTGACACGTTTGGTTATTTGACAGCAGTTCTAGGGGGGAGACGGGATCTGGACGAATAGCAATCTGAAACCGCGAGACAACCATTTCCGACCTTAATAAAGTAAAGGGTGTAGAAAAACGATTCCCGCAAGGGAAGACTTCGATTATTCACTCTGTCTGTTAATTTATCCTGTAGGCGAAGGGTGGTGCATGTAATTTCTCGAAGTTCGCAAGTATTTCAACCATCCGAAAATCGTTCTCCAACTAACTCCCAAATGTTTGGGTGACTTGTTGAAGCATTTGATCAGCATGCGTGGGATCACCCTGCTTCCGTTTAAACATTCAGTTTGTCGATATACTACGGGGATCACTCGGGTGATTTTCGGAACCGATTGTCATTCCAGTACCGAAGTCGATCGAGGAATGCCCTTCCACCACACTTGTTACCTTGCATTTTGCACCGCTGCAGGTGCCTTTGCACGCCGTCCTATTACTCTCTTCTTCCCCTAATACCTAGCTAAAAGTAGAAATTCTACCCCACTCAACTGGCTGCTTTGTGACCCAATATTACCCAATAGTTTGTCCCTTCAGACTAGTTAGCAATCGATCCAGTTGAGAAATTATCTTCGTCGTAATCCTGCTTTAAATAGATGTTGTAACACGCGCACATTTCTGATTTTCCTCGCATTGCAACTGCAGCGATTTGCAATCCGCAATTGTGTCAGAAGATGCGTTTTCCTTTCCCTCAACCCACTATTTCCATTCACCCGCTATAGCACCTGAAGGAGCCTGTGCGTTAGTGTTCGGGAGTAGGAAATCGGTGTAGCCTAGATGGACAGCAATAGAGAGCAATTTGTTTACCATCGTGTTAAGTTAATCCCAATTTCATCAAACCACGACCAAGGTGGGTATTAGCAGGATCTGTGTCGCTGTTCACTCTACGTGTGTTCATTCGAACACTGCCACCCCCAGTTTCGCGGTCGATTCATAAACCGGTGCACCGATAAACTGAATTTGGGACAGGTCCGAATTCGGAGTTAGATAGCTGCGTTGCGACTTGTGTATGCTTAATGTTTTATCTTCCTGTTTTTTCCCCCACGAGTTAGCCGATAAATAGCATTTTTGGGCACGTTAGAAAACCGCACAGAGTCGGTCGCCTACCAGACAGACACAGACAGAAAACTTGCAACTTAGTTCCAACCGTTTGAAGCAAGCGGCCTAAAATGCGATATTGATTTGCCTATTTGATAATTCGATTCATTCTATTGTGAAAGGTGATAAACATTGTTCCACGCGCGTGCCTACGACTTCGACGGCGCTATCCATCCTCATCGTTTATGTTTTTGTCCATTCATGCCGCCGGATTTACTGTTGAAATGCGATTGATGCGAGCACCCATTCTTCTCTTTCGTACAGCTCTTTATTATTTAGGGTTTACTGCTCACCAACTCCATTTCCGTGACATCTAATCAGTGTTTAGCATACAGCGTTAACGCAGGTGGTATACATTTGTAAAAATAAGCAATACATCCCTTGGTATTTTGGAGTACACCTTCAGAAAACGAGAACTAAATGGAGGACGCCACAGTAAACCGAATGGCGTAATCCTTTTCCCCTTTTTATTGTACACAAAACAACCGCACAATCGATTTTTAGCACAGGACTGTGACTGTTTAATGGTTATCCACTAACAAAGTTGGTCGGTGGGGATGGTGAGACTCAAAACCCTAACCTAATGGTCTGCGTGATATCAACCGAAACCGACCAACCACCACCACTGTCAAGACAAACAGGTGTGCATTCTCCATCGGGGAGAGGCGATATTAAATTTGTCTTATTGTTCTCAGCTATGGGTATTGTACAACGAAAAACATGGGCGTGTATTGATATTTATGATTCAATCTCACGTGGCGAAAACTTATCACTTCGCCAGCTCAATCGTCCACACCGGCTACTAAATCACGTGACCATGTGGAACCGTACATACCAGCTCCGTATTGTGCAAACTGATGGGCGATTTGATTGTTCGGCATACACTGTCTTATCTGAGCGCTAACCGAGTTTGATCTGTAAGCATAAATTGATTGTCAATCGGTATATGCAAACCATATATCTGTTCAACATCCGAACTTTCCAACAACACTTGTTAATCAATGTATCATTTCTGTGGTTCTCCTACTGTGATTCGTGGAAGCTTTATTCATTTGAACATCAACTTTATGGCATCAAAAAACGATATGCTCTCTTTTGTATTAGTGATCACTATATTATTCACGCATTCCGGAAATGCAAAGTGCAATCCTTGTTCTTTCATTTTTGTTAGGAATCATCAGCTGTTCATTTCCATCGAGTGTTACCAAGAGTTCTCATCCCGACACGCTTAGTTTCTCTCTGGAATATTTCTCAGTAACTTACCTCACATTTACACAGCGTGTTTTAGCGCTTGTCCACTACTGGTATGTGTGTGCCGGAGTTGGATAACGGTTCTATATGTGCACATTTCCCAAACAGCGCTTGTACTAAAATAGCCTAGAAACGGTGCATCACAGTAGCGACCACTCCGTCAATTTTTCTCGCTGGTTGCTGCTCCGATTACTTCAGTACATTCTGTTGTGTAGATAAGTTGAAACTCTTTCTCTTTTCTTCCGTTTCGTTAACCTGTGACTCCAGAATTAATGGTTCATTTTATCAGTAGACAATATTGTGGTTAAATGATCAATTTCGTCGTACTTCCCATACTTCCCAAAGGTCATGTGGACTTAGGTTTAAGTAGGCCTTGTACAGCTGTGTGTTCCTCACGGAGACTCACCAGCAGTGTTAGTGTGTCAACGCAACTTCGGATCGAACCCGAGACCATATGCATACAAATAAAACGCTGTCGACAAATAAGAAAGCATGAATAAATGTTTGATCATATAAGAACTATGAGTGACAAAGGTTCAACAAATCGAGCTCCGACGTCAGATGTAGGTAGTTTACACAAGTCGCCAACACACTATTGTGTTCCAGTTTGTGTGTTTGCGTTCTTCATTCACTGGTTCGTACTTTTGCTACGAGAAAAGCACATGCATAGTTCAT